AGCTTGTATACAGGAGATACAAAAAATTCTCAGTTCCACAGGCACTACTCGCTAGCACAAAGGTTATATACTCCTATCCAATTTCGGCTTCATCCTAATTTGGAAGTTTGAAAAGAGTTGCACAAAACTAACTAGTGACTGGTGGATGGAATTAATCAATTGCCAAAACTCTGCATTTGCTATATTTTCAGTCTCCTATATTAATTAGAACTAGGTCTTATACAGGACAGTACCAAAATCAGTTTGAACCAAGGCTAGGACAGGACATTAATAGAAACAAATTACGCGGCAAACATTCAACATCATTCCAAACTTCTAGGGCAAAACCCATGCAAGGTTAATGATCTATTGGTTTTTATATTTGAATCTTGCAAGATCAACGAATCTACACACATGCTCCACATCAAATTTTTAACAAACCACCAATGCTTCAGTTTCATAAATATTCTAATGCAACCTATCAGACTAAAGCAAAGCCAATTTGTAAAGGTAACAACTGAGACATGCATTCAATGCTAAGTGTCATATCAGCATAGAAGATCACCATACCTTAAACAACAGGGGCTTGGAGAATGTCCCGGCGGGTGCTGTCTTCTTGTCTTCCCTGACCGTTGTATCTGCGACCCCCACAGCTTGCTTTCTGGGCAAATGGCGGACAGCTGGAACAAACCCAACTCCGGTGCCAACTGGAGCGGCGTCTTTGGCTAGCTGTTGCGCAATCTCCCGAAGAAGCATAAGTTGAGCCTTCTCAGTGCGCATTCCCAGCAGAGCCTGGCGCATCGATTCCCGGTCAGCCTCCAGCGCTTCCAGCCTCATGTATAGCGTCTTAATGTCTGGCTCGAGCGCCTCAGCTTCGTACTTGTCCAGGACCCTGGCGGTAGGAGCTGCCGCACCCTGATGCACCTTGTCGATCATGTAGACCCTGTCGCTGCCACTGCCAGAACCATCGTCGTCACTTCCCCCTTCTTCGACGCCATATCCAGCAATGGGAGACTCTGGCAACTCATCATCATCACAGGGGTGGCTCCTTTCCTCCACAGTCTCCTCATGTAACACCTCGTCGGCAGAAAATCCGCTTGTTTCCTGCCCAGCCGGCTCCAGCAATGCCTCATCTGCATACAGGTGGGCGCCCTCGTCTTCCTCTTCCTCCAGGGACGGTTGACCTAGTACATCCCCATCCTGGCCGTGCTCGAGGAGGCAGATCCGGCGCTCCAGATCCGCGCCCACCGCGTCCTCCTCGCTCCCCTCCAGGCCGTCGTCGTAGTAGTACTCCCCGTTGTAGCAGCGGAGCTCGGGGTAGTAGTCGCCGTCCTCGCCCTCGCCATCGCCGTCGCCCTCGAGGAAGCCGTCGCCGCCGTCCCCACGGCCCCGCCCCTCGGCCTCAGCCTCGTCGTCGGCGTCGGGGAGCGGGATGCCGAGGCGGAGGCAGGTCTGCTGGTAGGCGTGGAGCCTGGAGCGGGCGCGCGCGAGGTGGCGCGCGCGGCGGGCGACGAGGCCGCGGAGGTGGTCGATTTCGGCGGCGTCGAGCGCCATCTTCTCGTCGGCGAAGCGGCGGAATTGGCGCAGCTCCATCTGCACCTCGGCCTTCTCCCGCTGCAGGCGCAGCATCATGGCCATGGCCTCGCTGGCGGCGCTGGCCGCGGCGAGGCGCTCCTCCTCCACCTCGCCCCGCAGCGCCGCCGCGGTGGCCTGCGCCGCCGCCAGCGCCTCCCGCAGCGCCGCGGTCTCCTCCTCCGCCTCCACCCGCGCCCCCGCCCCCTCCTCCCCCTCCCCGTCCCCGCCCCCGCCCCCGCCCCTCGTCTCCTCGCCCAGCTTCCGCTTCACGGAGCGCCGCCACCGGACCGCGCCGGACGGCGAGGAGCAGCACGGGCGGGGGGGCGAGTCGGGGTCGTGGTCGTCGTCCTCCATGGCGGCGGCGGCGACCGGTCCGGGAGCGAGGGTTTGGGGGCGGGGGAGCAAATCGCAGTTCTCTCTTCTTCTGCTGCTGCTCTTGGCTTTGGATTTGTGTCGTGTGTTTCGATTGGGGGAAGGGAATCGGCGACGGTGCGTTTGGTGGTGGTGCGTGGCGTTTCGTGTGCTTTTTGTGGGGTGTGGGGCTCCAACACGAGACAACGAAGGAGATTGCGACCAGAAGAGGATATTACGGATGGATTTGGAAATTCAAATGCTCCAAGTGAACAATCCTTTTTCTTGGGGAAAACTCTTAACTGAGTATTCGTCTTCTTGTCCTAAATAGAGTAGCAGTACTTTGCACTTGCCAAATGAAACAAAAAGGATTTCTTCGGCAAAAAGAATTTCCGGCCTACCTACGGATTTGTCTTGTATATATACGGCCGAAAAAGCTAAAACTCACTCTCCTAACCTCTAAAAGTTGTATTATACATGTTTAACCCACTTTTATTAGGCTTTCTACATAGGCATTTGTGTCATCGTTGCCCTGCTTCCGGCCATTCCTCGTTGATGCTACATGAATGGAGCTGGGCAACTACTCCAGGCCATTTCTGGTCCTCCCCACAACCTCGCATCGATTATTGCTTGACGTTGCCTTGGGTTCTTTGTGGCCACTACCATGAGGACGATGTTGGCGTTATCACAACCGTTAATGAGCATCCACACCTCTCTTTCGGCGCCAATTCACCTTCCCCTCCCTAAAAAAACACACATTCACCCTCCCCCCCCCCCAAAACAACACCTATTCACCAACTGCCACCATACACGTGCAACCGAGTTGGCGGGAAGGCCGCCACGAGGAACCAGGGACGTGAATGACCTCCCCACACCCCCTACCCGTTCTCCGCACAACCTCTTGCCGCTTCCCACTTTGCAACGTCATCCTGACACAGTTCGGGCTCCTATGTGGTCACCACCACCAAAGATGATGTTGGCGTTGCCACAACCATAAATGGGCTCCCACACCTTTCTTTCTGGCGTCCTTCACCTTCTCATTGATGAATAGGCTCCACCAGCTAGAAGAAATACATGGCGCACATTCTAGGGTGTCTAAAAGATAGTGCACTTGTGGCTTTATTTATAAAGTCGGGCGTATGCCTTTTCTCTAATAGATAGTGCACTCTAAAAACGTCAAAACTGGTTTTAGAGCACCACCCTCCAAAACTATTACTATAGAGGTTTCCCATTCACGGAGTGTGCTAGAGTTATTCTAACTATCACTTACAAATGAGAAAAAAAGAAGAAGATTTCTGTTTTTCTCTAAGGATGTAAAGGAACATAAGATCCAACTACATGACTGTTGGCAATAACGTTTTTGCGATTGTAGGTTTGAACGGGGGGGGGGGGCATATAGATGCCAAATAATAGTTCCTCTCCCTATAGAGGAACATATGATGCAACCAATGTTCAACAAGGGTGATAAATGTGGTTGTAGCATACATCATAGTAACAAGAAAGAGAAGAGGTTATCGAGTGGGCATGAGTAGTGTAAGGTTATGAAAGATCAAAATAGAGAGGAGCTCGCTAGACAAGGTGAGGATGGTGGAACATGAATGTAGAGCTTGTTGTTGGTAATCAATAAAGCTCGGTTGCGCCGGTTTAGCGATGCATGAAGCAAGGTGTTGAGGGAGGTGCTTGTGGAAATGAGTTGGTTTTTACTTATATTAGGCATCGGTGCTTAAAACAAAAACCGGTTTATTGTAACAGGCACCTCTCTCGGCACCATGCATTGTACATGGTCTTAGAGGTTAGAAATAGATATGGTATGTGGAAGATCAGTTTAGGATTCACTTTTTTTTGACATCCTATAAAAAAATCATTTTTATGTATCATTTTACGATAACCTTTATATTTTACTTTTCCTTCTAGCGATACGGAAATCGGCATCGTCATCATTGAACTGGTGGATAGTATTTGGACCGACGGGTGATTTCACATTGTGTCTTCCTTAGAAGGTGATTTTGAAAGAGATTTTTTTTCCTGAAAGAGATATTGTTTTTGAAACAGTCCTTCGAAGGCGATGTTCTTGAGATATTTATGGACTCTTTTTTCTTCAAAAAGAGTTATTTATGGATGTTGAGAGCTGCAAGTTTTAGGCCATGTTTGGCGCTGAGGTGGATATTGACATTCTCCTTAGTTTGGACGGTTTTTACATCGTCCTCTTTCGGGGTTATGTTGTTACTAGTATATAGTCTACATAAGGTAAAAATCACATTCCTACTAAACATAATAAGAGATGTGTAGTTACTGTAGCTGTATAAATATGTCCTTCCTATTTGATAGTAGTATTTTATTAGGAGCTCGTCGGATATGTTACTGTTTGCCAAACAAGGACACTACCTATTGCGCAACTATATATGTTTGTACAACAACCTCTCAGCTAACTTCATCGGTATTGCAAACTGATCATTCCATGGTAAACCACTGATATCTATGTTTTCTCATTCTGAGACTGATTATACAAACTTACCCTGGCCAACTACAGAGGTGAACGTCTGGCAGCATTGTGTGTCTACTGAATTATTATTTCACACTAATAACTTCCATATGTCTATTCTCGCCACACACACACACACACACACACACACACACAAAAAAAAAGCTAGTATATATATATATGGTCTCCCCTGCAGAATAAGCAGAAAATCTATGGTCAATGGTTTCCGGATTAATTGCGCAGGGATTTAATCCTCTGCTGGAGAGAAACTGCTCGGAAAGAAATGACCGTTTCAACATGGATATCAATCAGCCAGTTAATAGGGACAGCTATGAAGAAACGCATGGTCTGACCGAATCTCCTCGTCTCCGGACTCCGGGAGAGCACGCATGTATGGCCAAGTCCAACAAGCTAGTATAGCTAGCTTGCTACAGGCGTGCATAGAATAGAGATCAGCGGTAGCTGTCAGGCTATTACTACTGTACTTTCGAATCGAATTCTCACGTACTGCCCTTGCTTTGAGCCCTGCACGTTGGGGTTGGGCGATCAGATTTGAGATCGATGAATGTATGTATATATATAGAGAGACGTATTACTAGGGATGGGATAGCGATCGCCGTGTCCTTCCAGCTTATCTCCGCCGGACGGAATATCTGTGGGGGACGGATGATAGTGGCGTCGTGATCGGCCGTTCTGTATGTTCTTGCGACGTTGCACGGCGAGCACGGACGGGACCATGCATGCATGGGTACGTTACAGTAGTACATCTGAATGGATTACCTTACCATGATTGGCTACAGCCAGCCCCCAAGAAGCTGTGATGGTAAGAGCATCTCCAGCCGTTGGCACCCCCAGGACACCTAAAAATCGCCCCCTGGGGGCGAGCCGGCGACACATTCGGCGCTGGGGACGGTTTTGCGTCCAGTCGTCGCCCCAGCTCGCCCCGAGGGCGCCGATGTTGGCCTACTTTTTAGCCACATTTCGGCGAATAAGCCCATATGGACGAGAATATGCCTATATTCGGCGTGGTTCGCCGTGGCTCGGCGTTCAATTATCAACATAAATATTTTTTATCACATATTTCATCACAGAAAAATCAAATACTTCAACAAAATAGTACAACAACAAATAGTTCAATACAAATTATATAGTTCAACAAATAAAAACTCATATTTCATCGCACGTCGCGCCCGACGTCGCCCTTGATCCTCCTGGACGTCGGCCTCGGCTTCCTCCTCCAGCAGCGCGGCGAGCGCTTCCTCGTCATCCGAGTCCGTCACCGAGGCAGGCAAATGGCCGAACACCTTGC